TAAGTCAAATGAGGAACAATTATAGCTCTATACAATATAAGCAGTGCTTTGTCGTTAAACAATTCTCTTGCCTTATATAGTACAGCATTAGATTTAGCTATTTTTGTTTTCAGATAATTAAGATGAGATTTCCAGGTCAGGTTTTCTTCAATAATTACACCCAAAAATTTCAGTTCACTCACTCTACAAATTACATTACAATACACTTTAAATAATGCATCAACCATAATTTTTCTATTACTAAATATCATATAATTTGTTTACTATTTACTATTAAAATACCACAACTTGGTCAATTTTAATTGGATTTTCAAATGGATTGTTTTGTTGTAAATGTGGGACATGTTTTAAAATGGCATACTTACAATGGGCATTAATATAAAAATAACGTTATGCAGATAAAAGTAAAATAATAGCAATATACACAGAATACATTTAGATTACATTTACTTTTATATGTCTTTACAAATAAAAATATAAAGCAAAATTATAGATGTTTATAAAAAAAGTATAAAAAATTGTACTAGCAGTGGTAATTAATATGGAAGAACCCATTTACATATATTTTTCTCCCTAGACATGCAAATAATAGGGTGTACAAAAAACGTACAAAAGAAAAAAATAATCTCAATAGTGTGAATGCAATGCTATGAAGCTTTCACACAATAAAGAAAAACATGAAAACAACATGAAAACAATAGTGTGAATGCTGCTTAACAGCATTCACACTGACCAAAAAAGATTTGACACTGGGAGTGGTTAAATCTGGCTCTGCCTACTTTAACAAGCAGAATGACTAGTTTGTCAAGAAGTCAGTGACTGATCAGTCGGACGCACAACGTCTTAAAGGAGTGTTGATTTTAAAGTGTTATTGGTTTTTTTTAAATTGGAGTAAACATTGACAGGTAGGAATCATTGTATAAATCAATATTTTTTAACACAGCATATCTGTATTTACTTTGACAAACCAACTCATGTTATCTGTTTTAGGTTGTACGGTCCACAATGACTTCCAACGAGGAAACAGAAGAACATGATCTGTTTGCGCACAATCACAAACAGACCACAGCTGAAAGGTAGGGGTTTGCTGTTGCTGACTGTTCTATAGCTTACAGTTCTGTTCTCATGTCAAATTATTTTGTACATTTTGTATTAAAGACCATTTGTCAAGATGAGAGCAGATTCCAAAATCCCATGGAGTGCGTCCATGAGGTCTGACCCGTCTAAGCACGAAGGAATTGAATTCAAGGAAAAAAGATTTGGTGTTTATTCATGGTAAGACTATACTGTGAAATTTGGTTAATTAGAAAAAACAAGTGTTTCAATCATTTCATAACAAGAAATGTGACAATTGAAAGTTTATCTTGGGTTAAAGTCATTTAAGAGGCCAGAGACCTCATTTACTAGCCAAATGTAGAGATGGCCTGAGAGGTCTAAATGGATACCTATTGAGTTCAGTGATAGAGGCCCCTCTGATCAACAAATGTAATCATTTAAACTAGATGCTTATTGTATGATTRTRCTGATTAGCACAGRAAAAGTAACTCATTCATAAAATATCTTTCTGTTCAGTCCATACCCTGAAATTTKTTTGATGTTTGTGTTGAAGCCAGGAGAACCTGATGTGTCCAGAACCATSTGGGCCCAGCTGTGTGTCCCTAAGGAGTGATCAGTCAATWGATTTACCAATCGAATTCAAAGGTGGAGGCTGTTCTGATAAAAWAATGTGAGACCTCAAAGCAATTATCCTGGTCCTATTTGGACCAGTAAACAAAGTTTWATTGAATTATTAATTAATTATTAAGACCCTGAATTCAGTTCATCAAATGAAATGTGACTAATGAGTCTATTTTATGTTAAAGTCATTTGACAGACAAGAGACCACATACTTTGGACAGCCAAATGNAAATAAAATACATTCAAACACAATAATCTCTAAATAACAGAACTAACCTAAACCAACTCCGTATCAAGACAACCAATCCTATAAGGATATATTAAACCCATCCATCCATCCATCCATCTTATAATATCTGCTCCTTTATAAACAAAAAATACATATAAATTAAAATACATTTAAACACAATAATCTCTAAATAACAGAACTAACCAAAACTGACTCCGTATCAAGACAACCAATCCTATAAGGATATATTAAACCATTTCATATTTATTCAATAAATTAATTTTTACCCTTTTCTTAAACAAAAACATTGAGGAAGCATTTTTACATTTGTTATCCAAAACATTCCACAGTTTTACTCCTTGAACAAACGTGCATCGTTCCTTTAAGTTTAATCAAATTACTGTCTTCACAAACATCTCTGGTCCTTTCAATTTATAATTACTGACTTTCTTGGTGAAATATGATTGAATATTTTGAGGTAAAGCATTTGTATGAGCCCTATACATAACCTGCAAAATTCCATAGTCAACCAGTTCATAAAATTTTAGTAACTTTAATTGATGAAATAATATGTTAGATGGATGAGTGTAATGTTTTCTTGTGATGATTCTTACGATTCGTTTCTGTAGAATAAAAATAGAATTTGTAGCCGTTCTACATGCCTTCCTCCAAACCTCAACACAATAAGTCAAATGAGGAACAATTATAGCTCTATACAATATAAGCAGTGCTTTGTCGTTAAACAATTCTCTTGCCTTATATAGTACAGCATTAGATTTAGCTATTTTTGTTTTCAGATAATTAAGATGAGATTTCCAGGTCAGGTTTTCTTCAATAATTACACCCAAAAATTTCAGTTCACTCACTCTACAAATTACATTACAATACACTTTAAATAATGCATCAACCATAATTTTTCTATTACTAAATATCATATAATTTGTTTACTATTTACTATTAAAATACCACAACTTGGTCAATTTTAATTGGATTTTCAAATGGATTGTTTTGTTGTAAATGTGGGACATGTTTTAAAATGGCATACTTACAATGGGCATTAATATAAAAATAACGTTATGCAGATAAAAGTAAAATAATAGCAATATACACAGAATACATTTAGATTACATTTACTTTTATATGTCTTTACAAATAAAAATATAAAGCAAAATTATAGATGTTTATAAAAAAAGTATAAAAAATTGTACTAGCAGTGGTAATTAATATGGAAGAACCCATTTACATATATTTTTCTCCCTAGACATGCAAATAATAGGGTGTACAAAAAACGTACAAAAGAAAAAAATAATCTCAATAGTGTGAATGCAATGCTATGAAGCTTTCACACAATAAAGAAAAACATGAAAACAACATGAAAACAATAGTGTGAATGCTGCTTAACAGCATTCACACTGACCAAAAAAGATTTGACACTGGGAGTGGTTAAATCTGGCTCTGCCTACTTTAACAAGCAGAATGACTAGTTTGTCAAGAAGTCAGTGACTGATCAGTCGGACGCACAACGTCTTAAAGGAGTGTTGATTTTAAAGTGTTATTGGTTTTTTTTAAATTGGAGTAAACATTGACAGGTAGGAATCATTGTATAAATCAATATTTTTTAACACAGCATATCTGTATTTACTTTGACAAACCAACTCATGTTATCTGTTTTAGGTTGTACCGTCCACAATGACTTCCAACGAGGAAACAGAAGAACATGATCTGTTTGCGCACAATCACAAACAGACCACAGCTGAAAGGTAGGGGTTTGCTGTTGCTGACTGTTCTATAGCTTACAGTTCTGGTCTCATGTCAAATTATTTTGTACATTTTGTATTAAAGACCATTTGTCAAGATGAGAGCAGATTCCAAAATCCCATGGAGTGCGTCCATGAGGTCTGACCCGTCTAAGCACGAAGGAATTGAATTCAAGGAAAAAAGATTTGGTGTTTATTTATGGTAAGACTATGCTGTGAAATTTGGTTAATTAGAAAAACAAGTGTTGCAATCGTTTTATAACATGAAATGTGACAATTGAAAATTTATCTTGGGTTAAAGTCTTTTAAGAGGCCAGAGACCTCATTTACCAGCCAGATGTGGAGATGGCCTGAGAGGTCAAAATCGATACCTATTGAGTTCAGTGATAGAGGGCNGCCCGCCTCAGTGCATGCACTCATCACAAACCTCATCAGGGGGAAACTGCTTCCCTCTGCAAGCCTCTGGATAACTACACGGCCAGCAGCAGCCAATCAGATCCCTCCTGAGTACATTGACATGGTGACAGAAGTCAGAGGATTCACTGACTCACAGAAGGAAGAATACTTCAAGAGGAAATTCAGAAAAGAGGAACAGGCCAGCAGGATAATCTCCCACATCAGGACATCACGAAGCCTCCACATCATGTGCCGCATTCCTATCTTCTGCTGGATCACGGCTACAGTTCTGGACCATGTCCTACAGATGGAAGAGNAGTCCGCAGGACAGAGTTCTGACTTGGGGGTAATGTACATGATGGTTGTCAACCAGGCAAACGGAAGTTATACATTTTTTGTGACTCAGCAGGGGGAGCAAGACTTGTGTAAAAGTATGAACCAGCCTTGTCTAATTTCCCTCTGGGATTAATAAAGTATTTTTGATTTGATTGATTTAACAAAAAATGTGACAATGAAGGAAATCATAGATCATTGTCAAACTTGTTGTTAATCTACCTCTCCAAATATAACTATCCTTACGCTAGTGTTGATGGCAGAATATGGTGTATTTAATAAGCTTTAAAGCAATTTAAAATATATATTTGTTCTCTTTGAGGTGTTGGAAGAAGACATTACCACTTTTGTAAAAGATGAACTGAAGAGGATGAAGAACATCCTGTGTCCAGAAGGTTCAGAGAGGCTTAAAGAAACCGCTGGTGAAAAGGAGCAAAACAAGAGCAACAGAGAAGCATTTTTAAACATTGTTCTGAACTTCCTGAGAAGAAGAAAGCAGGAAGACCTGGCTAACAGTCTGCAAAACAGTACGATAGTTCTCTTTTCGCTCACATCTTTTGTACATCATTATGTAAAATATCTGATATATATGTAATAATGTCTGAATAATGGACTTTGTCACATTTTTACCTATTTTTTCTTTAGAACTGCATGAGATGATTTGTCGACAAAAACTCAAGACTAACCTAACAAGAAGGTTTCGGTGCTTGTTGGAGGGAAATTCCAGAGAAAAGAAACCAAATTTTGTGAATCAGATCTACACTGAGCTCCACATCACAAAGCATGGGACAGAAGGGGTCAATAGTCAACCTGAGGTCCAACAGATAGAAGCTGCATCTTGGAAACCAGCAGGTTCAGAAACCATCATCAAATGTGAGGATATTTTCATCCCTGGAAAAGATGAACCAGTTAGAACTCTGATGACCAAAGGAGTTTCTGGCATTGGGAAAACAGTCTTTACACAGAAGTACATTTTGGACTGGGCTGAAGACAAAACATACCACAACATACACTTTATCTTCCCGTTCACGTTCCGAGAGCTTAATTTACTGAAAGATAAAACCTACAGCTTAGTGGGACTCATTCATTACTTCTTCAC